AGCCTCTCCTGGCGCGCACCGGCTCGGCTGCAATATAATCGCCGACGCCCTGGATGACCTGCCCCGCTGCCTCCACTGTTTCCTCTCAGGCACCAGGCGGCCCTAGCGCACCGGGACAAGAAAAAAGTGCGCCCGGCCTGCGGGAATATTCTTTTTTTGCTTCAGTTTACAAGTCCTGCTCTGGAGGCAAAAGTGGGGTGGGGAGAGAAACCTTTGCCCGTTGCTACCTCTCCCCTCGCCCCCCCCCGGGTCCCACCTCCCGCCGGTCTCGCCGCCGCCCCGGTGCGCGCCGGCCAGGCATTTTCGTACCCCACCACTGCGAGGAGAGGTAGCGAGATGGGGGCGAGATAACCGCGCGGAGGGATCCACGCGAAGGCGAGGCGAACCGTATGTCCGACGGGACTCCTCACTCCATCCCCGAGATGCCTCCGCCAGCCTTAAAGGGGGCCCATAAAGCCGCACTGCCAAGGGCTCTCAGTGCCCCCGGGCCGAGAGGACGCCTGCCTTGGCCCGCTGAGAAGGGGCGCGGCAGAACCTTAGACTTGGGGAGGCAGGGAGGACACTCCCAGGAGGCTGCAGAGCAAATGACTCCCTTCTAGAGCCCCTGGAACAGCCCTATGAAGACTGGCCATGAGTTTTGCATTTCTGAACACGGGGAACTTGGACCAGCAAAGTTGACAGACCGGACCGTGCAATTGGTTGGGTCTAAATAGTTTGATTAAAGGTCATAAGTATGGTCCCAACTCTTGGCGTTATCAAACGAATCAAAGTCCTTTCCAACAGAAAGGGCCTTGTGGAAACGAGAGGTACATTTACAATTGACGCACTGCATACCTGGCTGAGGCTCCTAGGTTAATTGATATTTAATGAAAATCATGCCCATGAATATAGTTTCCATCATTTCACCCTTGATAGACGTCAGTACTAGGAACGGGGGAGACTGTAGAATGTGGGAAGAGGGGCATTAGTACTGCTGAGGGAGTAAATAGAGGAGCGGACCGAAATGTTTCTAGCCGAGAAAAGAGGACTCACGCTGGGATGGGTGGCATTTCCTAGGTCAGGACTTGAGACCCCCAGGTCTCAGCCCCTACGCCTGCGCGAGCAAACCTGAAAAGACTGTCCCCCCGCTGGCGCACCGGGAACCGACACTCGCGAGTCCCCCTTGGAGCCTTAAGACTGGCATTCGGATCGCGCTGGTTCCAGGCTGCTGCAGGCGGCCCGGTGTTCTGCTAACTATTCTAGTTAATTCACCTAACCTATGAGATAAGCTGTGTGAAAGTGGGCTCCAGGCTTATCTTAAAGTTGCTAATTTTTCCCGAAAGAAAAGAAAAAGTTAAGCCTAGTTTGTGATTAAAGAGGAGGAGAAGCAGCCAGAGTTATGTATGAATTGTTGAGTATGAATCGGTAAAATATTCCTGATTTTAGCAGCTCTCTCCCGAGTTGCTTGGCATTACACCACCCACTTTCTCTCCACACTTCTTCGCTCTTCTCCCGTTTTAATAAATGTAAAACATTTAATAAATGCCATTTAATATGTGTTCCAGTAAATGTAATGGTTCTCCGCTGAGTATTTTTCCTCTCTTTTACTCAGCCTTTTTCGTGAGTTCCTTGGATGCTGAGCCTCTTTCCCTTCTAGGTAATCCAGTGTTGAGAGGACATGAGACCCACTGGCCTTGGGAACAGACCTCAAAGACACGCCCAGCCCACCAAGGACGATCTGGTTTAAGCTACAACACACCACGCCGGCTTTCCACACCAAATGTAATGCCTAAAAAACCCAAATGGCTTCGAAGTCGCAGCAGGCCAGTGATTTCAATTATCCTGGCATTCCTTGTGGGTTGGCCCAGCTTGTGTGATTGGGCATCCTGAGGGTCGGTCCAGCGGACCATTTACAAATGGAAAAAATTAAGGTTGAAATGGAAAGGCATAGAAAAATAATATTGTCTGACCCAACTATTTCTACAAGGAATGGCTGGAAATGGTGAGGTTACACAGATTGTTAATGAATCTGGAAATAAAGCCCTGCTTTATTGAAATTTTAGTAGAGAAGGCTGAAGACTTGTTTTAGGAGTGACAGGGGGGTAAGATTATTAAAAAAAATTTTTTTTGTTGTTTTCGTTTTGTTATTGCCAAGCATCACCAGATAGCTTTCTTTGAATTCAGAGGGGAAGGAACTGATTCTAACAGTTAAGGGTTTATACTTCTATTTTGCAAACATCCAATTAAAAGATTATTTTCAATAAAAACTATAATGGTAACTCTGTAATGGTGCCTTTTTATTTCACTATTTGGAGTGTGTGTGCGTGTTTGTGTGTTTGTGTGTGTGTGTGTACGAGCACCCTTGCATGCTATGTGCCCGCTGGTGTTTGAACCCTGATAAATGAATGGGTTTGGGAATGGAATTGGGAACAAATAGAAGAGATAACCCAAATCTCAATGATATAAGACACTTTTTAGAACTGTATGATTCATGAGGTGGGGCTGGGAAAACAACACTACTAAATGCATTTCTACACATTCAGGCCTAATTTAGAAAATATTAAAATACAATTTTTGGACAAAACACATTTTTAAAAATTTTTATATATAATCATTTTGTTTATAATCTGGATAGAAAAAGAGCAAAATTAGCTTCGTAAATAAAGATCTATGCTGTTACACGTTTTCGTTTTGATAGAATGAATTAATTTAGCATAGCGTTTTGGAGTTTCGCTGTACCAAAGTCCAAATTTTCCGAAATCCTGGCTGAGCCAAATTTTATGCCTGGAAAAAACTGATGGACAAGTTAGCAGTGCACACTATTTGCTTTTGGTTAAATTTATCTTAATTTGGAATTAAAAATAAGATTGTAATTATTTTTAATCAAAACCTTTCTCCACCGTAACTACAGCTTTATGAGATCAGAAAATGGAGCAACAGCGCTCTCTAGTGGCCAAATGCCAATCGAGCGGACCGAGTTCAACTTCGTTTTTATTTCTCTCAAACCAATTCTAGTCTTGTTCATTAGTCTGACTGGGGTTTGGACCACTGACACAATAATGCTTCTCTATTTGATTGTCAACAAGTCGACAGAGCCTCCTCAAAGCTGAGAATAATTTTATTAGTGCTCCCAAGAGCTTGTAGTAGTGTCTTTGCCAAAAGCTTCCAGCACTTTTGTTGGACACTTTAGGTCCACATTCTGTAATAGCCCAGCTGTGCCTTTTAGCACAATTATAGGACAGGCTAGATTTAACAAAACTCAACTTTTAAAATATCAGTTTTCGAGAAGCTTTATTTTCCCTCAAAGGAACCAAGCACTTCAACAACAAAGAACTCAGGAATTGTAATTTTTCTTTTAAAGCTTTTAGCATAAGATAATAAACATTTCTATTTTAACTTTCTAAGTTTGATGTTCTGGGCCCATTTAGTTGGGCAATTTGGGAGGAGTGAGGCCAAATTGAAAATTTTTTTGCTGGATTTCTGAATGGCTGTCTGGAAAGTCCCTTTTGGGCTTGTGTTCCTTTGAAATTCTATGGACAGTAATGGGATTTTAAACTTTTATAACAAAAGTTACCGACAGAGCCAAATTGACTAAACATTCCACTTGAATTTTTTTTTTAAGCTCAAACTATTAAATCAGCTTAGGTGTTTCCTGATAGGTTAATCTTTTCCCCCCCTCATTTTAAAAAATGCGTTCTGCAAGTTCAGGTGTAATGGTTGTATTTTTGATAAGTGAGTATATTTCAATATTTTTGCTGTGAAGTTTGGAATGAAGGGCCCTATACGTTTTTGTAAAGAGGCATGAAACTTCATCTTTTCCCACAGACTGTATTTCTGGAGACTCTTTTCTGAGTAAATGACCCAAGCTCACTAACCTTCCTACTCTCAAGTAACAGAGTGTTGTTGTAGTGTTTTGCTTTGTTTGGTTTTTGGCTTTTTTTTTTTTTTTAAAGAACCAGCTAGAGTGTGGCCACAGTCAAAATATTATAAAGAGCCAGTCGCCTTAAGCTACTTCTAATGCTCAGCCCATTTTAAAAACCAGAAACACATCACCTTCTTCTTCCTATCTCTCATTTTTATTTCCTATGTGCTCACACCTCACTCGGGGGTCCCTAGCCCCTGCCTTCTCGGTTCAACACAGTCTTGTTTATATTTTATTGTCCAGATTTTAAGACCCAGTTTTGTCTGCATTTTTCCTTTCCTCTCACAAACATCAAAATGAGATGGTTTCAAAGCGAAGCGCCTGGCCTGTCGTAAACTCATTACCTCCAGACGTCTCGCCGGCTCGATGGCTTTATGACACCTTGGCTCTTCCTGTTTTCAAAGAGCTCTAGGTATCGGGCTGGCTGCAGGGGTGGGGGGTACACAGCACCTCCGCCAGATCTGGGCCTTGGCTTTCTGTCCCAGCCCCCCTCTGCTTTCTCTTCGAGTCCCCTCTTTCATCAGGATCCCCAAGATCTCTGCCACCGCCCCCGCCTTCCGCCCAGCCCAGGCCGCCCGGCGCCGCCGCCTCCTCTAGGGCCTGCAAAGACTATGCTCCGCCTGAACCCTCGCTTACAATGACCTTCATTTTAGCCTCTGAATGCGGACTTTAGAGGGCCAATCTGGGGGCTAAACATACACAGAAGCTGGGTGGAGGGAAGGGAGCGGCGGAATGAGGGTGGCCGGGGAGTTGTTCCTTGACCATTTTGATCCGCTAAGGTCACTTTGGGGCTCCTGTGGGGAGGGGCGAAAGCTACGGCTTAACCAGCTTGGACCTCCCGGAGCCAGCTAGCCACGCTGAGCTGGGAGAGTAGCTCCAGAGCGCAGAGTTGGCCTTTCCCTTTTTTGGAGACCGGGGTTGGCGGCTGGGGCTCCATGGGTTGAGGCAGGCGTGGGGTGGGTTATGTCAAAGCCTTAGCAAAAGGGTGGTTAGTTCCTGGGGCCTGCCGGCTCCCCCAGACATTGCTGTGGTGCTGACAACTGGGCCCGGAGCACAGAGTTCATTGAAATGCTAGCACCAAGATGAGGGAGGCGCCAAGACTCCCTCAGGGGCTGCACTCCAGGCCAGGTCAACCCACACAAAGGAAGTTCAGAGGAACATCAGAGAAACCTGCCAGTTGGAAGGACCCCGATTATTAAGCAATGTCTCCCAAGAATAGAGGCAAAGTCTGGTGAGGGTGATATTTTGTAGAGACAGAGAAGTGACACAACGTTCAGGACCAGCGTCTGGGCTCCATTTGATCAGGTTAGCATTTATTGGTAGGAAGCATTAACATTTACAACTGGTCCTCGAGCAGGAACCCTGAGGGCCACAAACCAAAGCAGCCCACGTGAGCCCAGCCTTCCCAGAAAGAGTAACTGCTCCAAAACATTAAGAACAGACCCCCACCCACGCACCCGAGGCCCCGGGCTGCTTCCTAGGCCTCACTGGAAGTCTCAGCCCGCAGGGTCCCTGTTGAAAGTGGGCTTTCAAAACCCGGTGGGTGACCGAACCACTCAGGCTTAGGCCTGGGCGAGCAGCCAGGGTGTGCACAGTGTCTTCCTCTGCCTTCAGCTTCTCGGATTGGGGCGCGCTTGGTCCGGTTTGGCGAGGCTGCGGGAGCTAAACTACAGCACTTTTCAGAAACATGGGGCACATTAACACATTGAGAGGGCTCCTCAAGCCAGCGTGCACTCACAAAATATAGCATTTCCTAAGGAACCGATGAAGCAGGAAAGGGAGGGAGTGGAATAGATGAAACCCCAAAGCCACTTGGTTTCTCCAACACAGAAGCGAGCAAATACAGAGTTCCCCAAATACCTCACAGAGACCAACCACACAGTCAATTCTACCAAGAAAAAAAAAAAAAAAAAGTCTGAGTCGCTGCAGAGTTTTTGGAAATCAAGCACCCACAAAGAAAAACTCCGTTGCCTTTGAGAGCTCCTGCCGGTACTGAGCTGGGTCAGTCTCCTTTGGGGCATTTCTCCTTGCTCATCTTTTTCATTTTCATTCTACGGTTCTGGAACCAGATTTTGACCTGTCTCTCTGTGAGGTTCAGAATCCTGGCCACCTCGTAGCGCCGGTCTCGGGTGAGGTACATGTTGAAGAGGAATTCCTTCTCTAGTTCAAGCGTCTGGTATTTGGTGTAGGGACAGCGCTTTTTCCGGGTGGAGCGAGCGTGGATCCAGTTCGCTGCGGGGTTGTCTACGAAGAGGGGGGTTTACAGAGGAGAGCGAGGGGCGGAGGGGAGGCAGGGAGAGACGACAGGGTGGGGAAGAGAGGTCGTTAAATTAATTTCACCAAGGATGGCCGCTTTTCACAACTTGGGGGGAATTATCATAAAAAGCCTTAATGCTCGCGCTGTTTACCGTACAAACCGCGCGCCCAGGGTAGGTGGTTATGGGAAGCTTTTTTATGGATGCGTGTTGCTCGCCTAGGCATGGGTAGGCGTCTAGACGTTTTTATAGGTTAGTAAAACTATCAGTTTTGCACATTCGAGCCTTACAGGTTTCAGCAATAAATCAGAGGGCAATTTCTTTTGCACTTACTTGGGTCAAGTTGCTGCTGCGGCGGCTGCGGATGCTGCTTCTCCTCCTCCTTCAGCGGGCAGCCCGGGCTCGGGTGATCACTGCAAGCCGAGGGCTCCGACGAGCCGCCTGCCCCGGGCCCCGACCGGATCCCCGCCCCGGGCCCAGTTCCCCCCGCCGCCGCTGCAGCCTTGTCCCTCAGGAACGAGTTGCACGAGAAATCGGTGCCGCCGCTCCCCTGGGACTCCCGGGCCGCAGAGCACTCAGTCCGTTTGGAGGAGGAGGACGAGGAAGTGGAGGAGGAGGAGGTGGAGGCTGCGACTGGGGCCGGGGCCGCTCCGGTTTCAGGCTTAATCCCGTAGTGGCGCCCGTTGGCTGGGCCACCGGGGCCAGGACTGGGACCAGGGCCCGGGGCGCCGCCTCCGCCACCGCCACCACCACTGCCCGCGCCACCGGGGAAGCCGGGCAGTGGCTCCATCCAGGAGCGCACGTATCGGCCAGGCTCGGAGGCGGCGGCAGCGGCGGCCAGGGGCGGCGGGGGCACGTACGGGTGATACAGGCCGCTCATCGCCGCCGCCGCCGGGGGCTGGGCGGGCACCGCGGACCACGAGGCAGAGAACACGGCCGATTTGGGGGCAAAACTACACGAGGCGAACTCGGCGGCAGACGCTGCCGGGCTGTCGGCCACACCTGCAGGCCGGCCCTGCGCGCCTGGCCCCGGTGGCCCGAAGCGTGCCGCGAACACCTCGTCGCCCTCATGGCCTATGAGGGAGTCCACGTAGTAGTTGCTGAGGGTGCCACTGGAGGACATTTTGAAGCGCCGTGCGCTCCCACCCAAGGTTACACTGCCCGCCGCCGAGCCGCTCCCCGCCGGCTCCGGAGCCGCCGACTAGTTCGCAGGCTGCAGCCACCACCATTGGTCGCGCGGCCCACGTGATCATATTTACCAATACCGGGAGTAAATCAGTCCGCTAAACTGGGGGCTGCTGTGATTTAAAAAAAAAAATCATCATCAACATAAGCGCGATAATTAGAGTCCGTAGGCCCAGGTATATGAGCCCGCTCGGCGTGGCCCGGCCCGACCCGGCCCGGCCAGCCCGGCGGTGGCTGGGACCACAGGCCCATCAGCGGCCGGAGGAGGCGCTGGGGACTATTTGTTCATCTCCTCTTGCCACTCTGGGTCCTGCAGTGTCGACCGTGGCTCTGGCTCTCCAGCTCCTGGGCTCAGAGCCGCGGGTCGCGCGTCCACAGGCTCACCTAGCACTTAGCCAGAACCTTGAGCAGCCGGAGGCAGGCGGGCCTTTAAGGGCGGCCCCCTGGCGCCCAAGGGGAGTTTTCTCCCCTCGTTTCTCTCGCTACCTAAACCCACCCCTCCCCACACAGACACACACACACACACACACACACACACACACACACGCTCTCTCACAGCTTGTCGTGTTGTTTAAAACAGGTGGAAGACCTCTGTAATGATATTATGCCTTTCAATAAAAATTTTATGAGGTGTATTTGATTATAGATTAATGTGTCCCTAATAAAACGGACGGATGGAGCAGCTCGGAGCGCCCCCTCCCCCTACCACATTCACACACGCCCGCGCGCAGCCACACACAGCCTCGACGTGAGGCTAGGCACACGCCGAGGCCGGAGGGGAGAGTTGAGGCGGCCTGGCTCGTGGACAGGCCCAGCCAGGCTCGGCGTCGTCGGCGGTGGCCGTGTTGGGGATTTCTGTCAGCCCTCGGAAGGGCCAGCGAGCCGTGGAGTCTACCGCGCAAACAGTGTCGTTCAGGGTCCGTGTCTTCTCCCCGGCTGCTGGAGAGGCCCTGAAAGAAAACACGCCACAGAGGGAAGAACCCAAATGCCAATTTGGGCCGGTCCCCACCAGCTGCCCTGTCCCCGGCTTCAGTGAGGCCTGTGGGAACCGCGTCTCCCAGGTCAAGGCTGTTTTGCGCCTTTCTCACTAAGAGGCCTCCAAGTAGATTCCCGAAATATGTGGGGGAAAAAAAAATCCAAAGGGCCAGATCCTTGGGCCACTCCTTTCCCAATTCTTTTTCTTGCTTCCAGAGGTAAGGCTGGGCAGCCTTGAATCTGAGGGAGATGCCCATTGTCACTCCCAAATCCATGGTACAAAGCCTCTGAAGCCTGGCCGGTAGCCGAAACAAAAGCGGCCTGGGTGTCGCCGCCGGCCGGAGGGCATATTACTCGCTCTACAAGTTGCCCAGCACCTTTGAGGACTCCCAGCCCACCTCCAACCCCGGAAAGAAAGGGGGTAAATGGCTACTTGTGGTCTGATTGATTGCCTTTGCCAATGGCTTTCTGATTTTGTTTCAGAGGGAATGCCCTTTCCTGTAACATGGAAAGGTTTTCCTCCCTGACATGGCCCCCAATCAACAACTAATGGCGCTCCCCACATCGCTGGGAGAAATGGGGAAGTTAAAAGTACACTCCATCTTTTGCCCAACCAATGTAAATCCGGGACAAATCTATTCCAGTGTTCCCAATCTAGCATGGATGCAGATCCCTCCTCCTCCCATCCTTAGGAAATGATGCCTCTAAAGGATTCTGTCTGGGAGCTTGGGATGGTTCCTGGTCTGGGGGAGGAAGTTTAAAACTGAATAAATACTGAGTGTCCCAAAGCCTCCCTGGCTGAGGACTCTGAGTCTCAGAGCTCCTAAATAGATATTTCTTAAGGGGGAAAAAAGGACCTGTTTTCCGAAGCTCCATTAAGCTATTGGAGATCCTCTGAAATTGCAGCCAGTACCTGGAGCAACGAATTTTCTGTCAAATTTCCCCCATAATGTTTCTCCTCCCTTTTCCCTGGCAGGACTGGATAAATCTGGGTTCCATGATATGGATTCTGCAGATGCTAGTGGGAATTTCCCAAGCCATGCCTATAAAAGGAATATTGGACTTCATGGAAAGTCATGTTCACTTGCATATTCTTTCAGTCATTTTTTCTATACCTTCTTGCTTTTTATAGTAGTTCCAACTGCATTTTGTAATTAAATACTAAGAGATTTGACTAGAGAGAATCTTTTCATTTCTTCCTTTAAAATTTTTCATATGAGCCACTAAAAGGTAATGACTGAGCATAAAATCCTTCTACAAGGAAAGCAAAGCAAAGTGTGCTGGGAAAACTCACCCATCCTTTCCTTTCACTGGGGCCTGGCTGTCTTGCACTTGAGATAGGGGTGGGGTTGAGCAAAAGGGAGAAAATTGGATGCCATGCAATGCTAAGCTGTTGTTTGTCCTTGCTTCTGTAATGGAGGCCCGGTAGTTTCCAGGTGGACAAGACTAGTTTCAACCTAGCCCCTGAGGATGACTTCCCAGCCAGAAATCACCAAGATCTCCCTGAAAGCATTAAAAATAACACAACCAAAACCACAGAAAAAAAATCTCTCTCTCTCTCTCTCTCTCTCTCTCTCTCTCTCTCTCTCTCTCTCTCTCTCTCTCTCTCCTCACACACATGCACACACACACACACACACAGGGGCAGCTAAGAGGAAAAAGCAACTTGTGGCACAAGCTTACTTACTAGGCTCGGGCTAGAGGAAGCTCACACCCTTTGAGAGTGCAATTATATTCTATGGTTGGGGACTGGGAGAGGAGAAAGGACTCTCTTTTCTCATTTACGAAAAATGCAAACCCAGGCGATTATCACTCTTCTTCTCCCACCACTGTCCAATTCTAGCACCATCTCCTGCTCCCGTCACTTCCCCCACCCTACTGCCCCAAAAGCAGTTTAACCAGAAGAGAACCTCCCCAAAGGCTTTCATTTCCACCATAATATTTTTCCATTTCAGAAAGCAGAGGGAGCAAACTTGTTTCCAGAATTTATTGCATTATACATGCTACCAGAACATGCACAGAAAGGACAGGTTGCTGTTGTACTTCTACCAAACCACAGATGCACCACAAGGGAAAGGCTACAAGGCATAAGTTGTCAATATTCCATCTCACCAAGGACAACTGCTAAATTCATTTGTGAAAAGATACATTGTAATGTGCTTTTTAAGTCCCCTCCCCCCAAAGCTTGTGGGTTTTCTTAATCTTTTTTAAATATATATATATATGTGTGTAATTTAAAAAGTACTGGATGTTTTCAAAATGTCATTAGTTCATGATTAACCACACACAGAGAACTTTTGTGTTAGAAAAAAAAAACATGAAAAAGGTCACATTGCTGGATGGATGGATGGATGGATGGATGGTTAGATGGATGCTCTACAGTTCCAATAAGTTAAGACCCAAATGAAAATGTGCAGTAATAGTTACCCTGCATTATGATGAAAAAATAATAAATTACACGTGGTAAGTTTTTTTAATATATATATATATATATATATACTCAGGGATTACAGATCACTTGCAGCACGAACAGAATGACCCCAAAGTCACATTCTAGCAGGAAAACAAAACAAAACAAAAACAAAAAAACAAAGAGCAATGAAGGTTTTGTTTCCACCTTCCCAGTCCTCCAGCACTGGGCTCTGGAACGCGGTGCCCCTCTCTGATCCTGGCCTCCCACCGGCCTCCGACCTAAGAAAAGGTGAGGTTGGCGGTCAGTTCTCGGATCCGGTTCTCTCGGCTCATCTTCTTGAGTTTCATTCGGCGGTTTTGAAACCAAATCTTGACCTGCCTGTCGGTGAGGTTAACGCTCTTACTGATCTCTAGGCGGCGCTCGCGGGTGAGGTACATATTGAACAAGAACTCTTTTTCTAATTCCAGCGTTTGGTGCTTAGTGTAAGGGCACCTCTTCTTTCTGCCACTCTTTGCAGTAAGCCAATTGCTGGTTGGAGTATCAGACTTGATTTCCTCTAACAAAATTAAAGGGAGAAGAAAAAAATCAAGAAGTTTTTTTTTTTCTTTCTCTCAGTCTGTTCAAATATACCCTTGGCCATGACCTGCTGGCAGGCAGGCTGCTTTGGGCAACCCTGGTATTAAACATTACTCACAGAGATGGACCCTGGAAGGGATTTTAAATCCATGCCAAATTTCAAACTAAATGCCCAAAGTGACACAATGGGAAGATAGTCTGCATCAGTGGGGTCTCTCTCTCTCTTCCCCCTCCCTCTCCCACACATGCAAGCACAGGCACAACTTTCTGACTCAAACAAAACATTAGTATAAAAGTAAACTTTTCTGTATCTCCTAGTGACATTCTCAGTGGTCAGCTCATGACAAAGCAGGAATGGAAGAAGCCATAGCCTAGACAAACCTTCCAACTCCATTGCTTCTTCAGGTCCCCAGATCTGTTGCTTCTTCTCCTACCTACCCTAGGCAGGCAGGGAGCTCCATAGCCAGGTTTATAGGTGCCTAGTCTCTAAATATAAATGAGGAAGCAAGGATATCTTCTCTACTCTGCCTGAGTATTGTTGCATTTACCCCAGAATTTCCTGAATTCTCATGCCTTCTTGCTCCAACACAAAAGCATTCCCCCAGAAATGTAACCTGCATTGTGGCCCACCTCTGGGCACTGGGAGAGAGGCTCAGGGGATAGGGTTCCTTCTCAAAAACCCAGATCCCTGGTTCCTTGACCTAGTCCAACCCTAAGGCTGGCCCTGGAAGTGGGCAATACGGTTCTGTTCTCCCCCCATGTGCCTTTGCCCTCTTTGTAGATGGATTGCAAAGCCTGCGGCACTTTTCCCAGACAAAGCCAAGGTTATCCAGCCCGGCAAAGGCAGGAAGCCCTGATCCCCCACTCAAGCACAAGCAGTCCAGCCATCTCGTTACCCTAACAGACCCCAAGCTCGCAGGATGCGGGGTATATACACTTGAACACGAACACGGTGCCTTGGGCCACCTTAAAATAATCATTTGGGTGCAAGGCAAAACTGAGATTCCAAGTATGAGCTGGAGAAAAGAGGTACTGGGGCCCTGTTTACGAGCTGCAGGTCTCCTTTGCCTCTTTTGTTGCGTTTCAGGTCTAGCTAAGGAAAAATAAACCCGGCAAGCCTTTCCTCTGCCCAGGCGCCATCAGCGTGGGGCCAAGACCGGCGGGGAGGGCCAGGCAGCGGGAGAGAAGCAGGGACCATCTCAAAGCTGAGATCTCCCTTCTGCAAGCCGGGCGGGAGCAGCACCTGCAAGTCGGGCAACCGACTCCGCTGCCTGGGCTCCGCGCTGGGCACCCAAGCGCTCCCTCTCCGCTGGGTTTCCAGACTGCGCGCCCCGCTGGGGTGGCAACTCTGTTCATACCGACCTTTGCTTTCCTTCTCCTGCACTTCGGGACTGGACACGGAGACCTCAGCCAGGCAGCTCCTCTCTTCGGGAAGGCCGCCTTTGGCCTCAGGGCTCTCCACCTGGGAGACTTTGGTGGGCTCCTGGCCGCTCACGTTTTCATTCATCTTCTTTTCCATCTGCAGCTGGGCAGCGGAGAGCTGCGGCTTGGCCGAGCCACGAGGGTTGAGCTGGAGCATGACAGTGGAGCTGCCTTCGGGGCTGTTATTGTACTCTTGGGTTTTCCCGGTGGCGTAGGTCTGACTCAGTCTAAAATATCCAGGGACAGGAACCTCGGGGTTCTCAACGGGACAGGACTCGGGGACCAGCCTCTGGTACGAAGGGACCTCGGCAGAAATGAGTTTGTTGCGCTTATCAGAATACATGCAGCAATTGGATTCTTCTTTAATGTTGGTGGTGAAAGAGCAAGTGGGGACTTGCTGTGTAACAGGTTGCTCTATTCGACAAGATCTGTTCGGGTCTGTCCAACTGTCTACTTGAGGTATATAAGGATGCACATTCATACCCATATTTTGGTGGTTCACTTCTCTTTTGGCCAGAGACGGGAGCAGTCCACAGGTTTGCATTCCATAGGTCCCCATGTCTGCGCTAGGTGGTGGCATGTACATGCTGGCGCTGCTCGAATAAAAACTGTCACTCCTGCAGGCACTGATCAAGGAATCTACTAAAAAAGTATTAGCAGCAGGAGAGCTGTTGGGAAAGGACATTTTGGGGAGGAATTTGAAGAAGAGAGATTGTGTCCTTTGTAGGCTGACATCTCTAGGAAAACATTCCCCGTGTAATTGTGGATGCCTCTGCCGACCACATGACAACCAAGCCAATGAGATTTGAAAATGGCCTTGAGCCGCAGCCTCCTCGCAGGTCACGTGCTCCAGAGCCCGGCCGGCCGGCCGCGTAAGCACGGACAACAGCGACATCTACTACGCGCCTGCGATAGTGCGCGCTAGAGACGACTGGCCCAGAGCTCTCCGCCGCCCGCTCTCCTCCCCGCCTCCCCGCAGCTCGTTCCGTCTGCCTGCCCCACTCGCGTCCACCGCCTCGGCCACCGGGCTCCGCCGGCGGAAGGAAAGGCTCGGTCGGAAGGACCTCGGGGAGGACACGCGCGGGGAGGGAAGCTGGAGCTCTGTGGCGCCTGCACACAGAGGCATATTCCAGCGCACACACCCAGGCAGAAACGCGCCCAAAAGGGCCGGGTCCGGGGCAGACGGTTGGGGCCCGGGCTGATTAATTTAGTGCCGGGCAACCCGGGAAGGTGAATCATATTACCCTGATCCTGAGACATCCCACTCCAGGGGTCCAAAGGAAAGATCCCGCGTGCAAAGGTGCGGCCAACGTGTCCCTGGAAGCGGAGGCGAAAAGGGCCGCGAGGGCCGCGAGGCCACGCAGCTGGCCGGCTCCGGAGCCCCAAGGATGAGCCCGGCCCAGCGTCGTCCTCTCCCTCGGCCTTCCCGCCCCAGCTCTGAGCCCCTCCGCGCCCCTGCGAGCTACTGGAGCCTTTGGTTCTCAGAGGAACCACACCCTGACCTTTGAAGGGCCGGGCCGCTGGGAGCTTTCAGCCTGAAGACAGTCCCTGGCCAGCCGTTCTCTATCGGGAAAGCGTCCCCCGGGCTCCCAGCGGGAGAACTAAACGGAGATTTCCTTCCTCACACACCCTGATAATAGAAGGCAGAGAGGAAGGGAGGGAGAAAGAAAATAATTTTCTAAAGGAAATAGGAAAACTCTGACCCTCAGACTCCAGAAGTTTTAGAAAACTGACTGGGCCAGGCAGGAGAGAGAGAAATGCAAAGGTGTCTTTTGGTTTTTCTGCAAAGAAAAATACGTTTTCCTTTTATGGATTTTGTAAAAGCATTGGTTTCTGACAAGCTCAAGGTACAAAAGGTTGTGGAATTTATTAATACATATTAAGAAGAATCAGGGCGATCAATAAAATTCTCATCTACATTCTTGAGCTACTTGGTAATTTTCTTGCTTCTGAAGGTTTTTAAAGAGTTATACCCGCTGTTGCCACACACGGGAAGATATTTTATTAACAAATCAATCGAGACTTTGTAAAGGATAAGATTAATAGTTAAGATTTAGCATAATGGCGTTCGCTTTATGAATTATTGAAAATTATACTATTGATTTTTCCCCTTCACTACTAACCAAGAAGGTCAATTTTTGTTTTAACACAAATCGTCAAATATTTAAAGCTATACTTTTGTGTCAAAAGTTGAGTTCTATAGTTTGGGACAATCCTTAAAATTATTTGACAAGATTTTGATTGGATAAGAGGGGGAACAGATGGGGGAATCTGTCCTCTGTTTCCTCTGGTGAGGGAAAGTTCTATAAAGAGGATATGGTCTGGAGTTGTGGTCTAGCTCATTAAAGAACAACCACCGACCACTACCAGCATGGAAATTCAGAGTTTTATGAGAAACTTGAACAACTTCCTCCCTCCTCTGGTTGCAGGCGGGTGAGCCGCCCAGCGGAAGCCCTGGCCTCGGACAGCAGCAGGGAGCTTTAACCTTGATTTCCAAAGACTTTCCTTAGGTGAGGGGCCCTTCCAGCACAAGGGAGTCATCCTTCCACCTTCCGGATCCCCTTCTGGGCAACCAAGAAAGTAAAGCGGCCCGGGGAGACTCTGATGACCATGAACCAGTTCTCTGTTCCCGAAGGCATCCGTGTTCTTTTCCCCACACTCACTCAGGCATGGGCTGGCCTTGGATTTCAGGCCCAGAGACTGAACTTGTGGGTAAATCGGGTTTCCGCCTCAGCAGAAAATTTCCTTGGGGTCCAATGCTCATTAAAGCACCTCTGCATCCTGGGGACCTAGTAGCCTGCCTGCTTCTTCACAAAAACCTTTTCCAACAAGCCCTTTGGCCCCCTCCCCAAAAGGAATTTCCCCTGGCCTGGTGAAAACAGGCATTGGACATTATTTTCGGCCTTGGGACCAATTCGCCTGTCCCCTCTCAGTGCCCTCGCCCAAACAATAACCCCTTTTAAAAAACTCCGCGGTGGCAATGAGACAGACCTTTTAAACCTTTACGCAGCTGTTCAAATACAACATCATTGTCAGGTTAAAAGCCTGGCGCCTCTAACTGCTCAGGCTGAAGCATCCTGGCTTAGGCGGAGGTTTAAACATTACCTTTCCACAGGGTGGGTATTTTTAAGTTTGGGGATGGGAGTTAAGGAAGGCAGAAGAAAAACAACTTTGGGCTCAAGCTTGCAAATATTCTGTTCAAAGATAACAGCAACTGATCAGCTCCCCAAAATTTCCTTTCTCACACTGTGGAGATCCTAATCTGAGCCACAGCTAACCATGCCCAGAGCTAAACAAAGTGCCCGCTAGCTATACTTGCTTTCGGCAGGCGCCCTGTCGCCAGCTTGGCGCTCCAGCCTTGTGTTCCTTTGCATCTGGGCCAGGAGTGCTGCCCAGAATTCGGTAGCCCAATTTAACCTATCTCTACCAAGGCAAGACTGTTCAATCTAATCAGGAATTTTATGCCCATCAAATGCCTTTTCATAATCCTTATTTATACATGAAGAAAACATCTAGGCTAAAAACAAGCAATTGTTTTTTTTGCAGAGCGGGTAGGTCTTCTATGAACCAGGACAGGCAAGAGCTGCCTTTTGCATTTGGGAGTCTTTTTGCTTTTAGCTCTCTGTGATTTCAAGCTCAAAGTCTCCCACATTGAATTCGATGTTAAGAAGTCTTCACTCACGGGGGGAGAAAAGTGTATATCAGAGTTTTAAATTTATTCTCACAAAATTCTGGTTTTTTTTTTTAATTTCAAATATTTACCTTCAGACTCGTTCCTTGGGGCCAGAGGCCATTAATATTTTAGAGATTTTATCTTAAAAATCAAGAAAAACAATAATACGAGAGAATGATTTGGATGGAGGATAATAAAAAATGAACCTTAAGACTTAAAGGCTGAGATGAAGCAAATGGAATTAAAAGGCAGTGGCTTTAAAGGCAACCTTTATTTTGCTTAGAGCATTAATGTAGTTGCTGGTTTCGATCATATTTAGATCAGTTGGGACAGTTACCATTAATAATAAATCAATATTGCATCATAAAAGAGATGGATACTCATATTTGTATCAAGACACCCTTCTCCCTGGCACAGTTATTTCCAGGAAAAAAAAAATTAAAAGGGTCGCCTTAGCAAGAAATTAGCGTTTGGAAATTTTTTAAAAAGTGACTTGCATCTGCACTCTTCTGTCTCTGGAAAGAAGAGTGGAGCCCCTGAGCCTGAGAGAACCTGGGGGTTCTTAGAGTCGCCTAGAATTAGTCCTGAGCAGCCTCTAGGCAATGTCACTTTGGGGGACAGAGTGGATGGGGACATGTTAAAGGAGACCTCCCCAAGACAGCCCCTCCCGATTGCACTGTGCACCACCTGGCTAAGGTGAAAAGAAATCCAGGGGGCAAATGGGGAGACTACCACTATGGCGATAAGGAGTCCACGGAGACGTGCAGAAGGGCCGCGGCCCTAGAGCCTCTTTCTGTACAGACACAAAAGACTCCTACTTCGCGCATTTTCCCTCCACTTAAGAATCTGCGTCTTTGGTGCTTCAGCATCTATGGCTACCCTCTGCGAGCCCCACACGTTCTGAAAGGTCGGGGGGAGGGGAAGGTCTTCAGTCTCCAGAGGTTCTGGTCGGACCCCCCCCCCCCATCTATGTCAGGCCTATGTTGGAAGCTGCCAGGAGGAAAGGAGCTACAGACAGCCCTGGTCGCTGGCGGCTGCCAGCCAAGGCCAAGGGGCCCCCTGCATAGCCAGATGCGCAATTGCTGGGGCCGCCTACCCAGGAACACAACGACATTTGGGGAGAGACTTCTCACCCCACGCAGACTGAAGCCCGGGTTAAGCACCAGAAAAGGTCGCTTCACAATAGCTAAGCTGGACCGGCGGCCAGACAGGCGGAGCCCGGGATACCCGCGGGGAACACCCACGCCTCTCCTTGGCGCCTTGCCGGGGAGTCATGGCGCCCCAGCCTCCCGGAAAGCCAATGCCAGCTCCCCTCCCGCAGGCGGGGGAGCGAGCGGGCAGGCGGGTCCCAGAGTCTTAGGTCCAGTGCTTGGAAGGCGGGATGCAGAGTCTGCTGACAAGGAGGCCAGCGCTAATTCTCAGAACTGCAAGCTTTTCACAATGAACTTCTGATGGGAAAAGAGGGCAGCCATCCTCTCCCAGAGCTGCCCATGTCCTGTTGTCCTGTCCTCTCCCTTTTGGGGTTACAGACACTCCCCAATGTTAGGGGCTTTACTGGGTGGGGAGGGCACGCAGTGAATTCACTGCTTCTGAAAGCAATGCCAAAAACAAGCTTAACACCTCAAGGCCAGAGGGCTGCTTGGAAGGGTGGCTTAGGATCTGTCAAATGCAACACCCCGTTTGCCTCAAATACATTTCCGTCCCACAACGCCTTCAAGTATAAACATTTCCCCCCAGAGAGCCCACTGCTTCCTGCAGCCGCATCAGCCCAGCTCGGCACCCGCACTCCAACTCATAGCCCTGCCTGCGCCTCCCCGGTCGCCTGGAAGAACCCTGTGCCGGGCATGACTCGAGGCTCCCTAACCCAGAACGACATCCTTGTCCCTCAATGCGTCTCATTTTTTCCCCCTGCATATACACTCAGCTAAATTACCAAAGCCTGAATGTGTCTTAAACAAAACCCCTTTAATCATCCCAGAGATCTGAGGGCTCACAAGACCGCATGTGGTTTTGGAGAGCCGGGAAGAAGGATTCTACCCCCGGACATCACTCTCCACACTCAAACCAACAAGAAAAAATTATTTTTGCTAACTTAGTAAACTCTCAGTGGTTATGACATATTTCAAAATACCTAATTTATCTGTTAAAAAATCTCTCCTCGACACCATCAGATTATACCAAGGTATCATTTGCAACAGCTTTATCTTCAAGGAGACAACGATTAAACAATCTCCTGTTGCAGGAATGTAGTTGCTCCCTTTGTTCTGTCTCCATACAACTTCTCACACTTAGGAGCTGCTTAGTACAAACAGCAAAACACCTTAGCTGCCGCCTGTTTCTAACGGGCCGAGATTGCTTATTAGAATCCAGTATTGGAAAGATAAGGTACCGCAGCCTCTCCGCCAAACGCGGCTTCTGGAACGTGAGCGCGCCCTCGTGTGGCTGTCCAGGCCCCTGCAAAGGCGAAATGGTACCTCTCGGTTCGGTTTACCTATGGTGGCTGGCGCACAAACTTGCTACATTTAGATGCAGTTAAAAAAAAAAAAACAGACGGAGAGAGAAAAATAAACTAATGTTAAGCTCCTAAGAAGATCATACTAATAAGGCATTCAGATTTTAACTGATACCCAGAATTTCAAACAAAGGAATCCCCTTCCCAACGAAATCATTTGTTCGCCTTGTTTCTATTACATCTTTCACCAAAGGCTGAGAGAGGCTTTTAAAGACCATACAAATATATTTTCTTTTGTTCCATAGCTTAGAAAGTGCCATAATTTATTTGATGGGTGGCAAATTGCTTTCAAATATAACAAAGGTGTAAGTCTGAACAGAACTTACTTTTTCAAATGCCTGCTTTTAATACTGCAGTTCTTCATTAGAGCAAAGGGAAACATTTCTTAAGACCCCCCCCCCCACATCTCCAGCACATCCTAGATGTAGTGAAAGCTAATAAGCATTTTAGTCTACCAGTATTTTCAAAAAAGAAGTCAATAGCTA